ATTTTCTCCCCCCTCCCCCAGCTGATAAAATACTGGGAAGCATTCCTACCTGAAGCCAAAGCCATTGCCTAGAAAGAAGAATTACCAATATGAAGATTCTTTGGATGTTGTCCCAGTTGAATTAAATTCCATAATGAAATCACTTTAAAATCATCCAAATAAACCACTATATATTTTATGAATTTAACATGTGGCTTTTTATATACTATAGCATCTTATTAACAGCTGCATGTCCTTGACCCTCTTTGGACTGTGGCATGACATTCTGCAATACTTGCGAATTGAACACTATTGTGTCTTAATACTTGCACTAAGATGTGCAATGCAAGGCCAGAACGTTATTTTTGTTCTTTACTATAAGTTCTGTCTACTTGATCTTTATGAAACAGAATGCATTTATTAATGTTCACATACACATTCCTGTAAATAATCAAGATTTTGTGATTACAGTAATAAAGGGATGTATCTTGTGCAACATTAATCATTACCTGTGTTAATTTTGTTCTTAATTGGTTATAAACTATAAACCCTGGTGAAATAATTGGTATTTAGTAATTCTTATCAGTTTTATGCATATGAAAAGTACTTTCAAAATTAAACAATTGCACTTAAATGTCCTTTATTTGGCCTTAACAAGAATCTTGGATGCTAAACCATGAAACTGTTACAATTTACAAATCAATTTGTTTGGATTGTTTCAAATTGGTATCATTCTAGTAACAAGGCTCCTTGATCCAATGAAGACTTCTGTTAGGAATGAAGCTGAAGGCTCAACATTCTTCTACTTAAATTCTTACGACACTCTAAGGACTTTCCTGTTTTTAAAAGCACATTTACGGTAAAAAAAAAAAAAAAAAGGCAGTGCTAAAATTCTGTAGAGCCAATTGTTCAATCAGATAACATCCAGATATCTATTTTGGGTTTTTAAATCACTATACAATTTGGAAAATGGCATATCATTTTTTTAAAGAACAATTCTGTGTAGTTTTTATGTTCCTGAAAGAAGTTTAAATTCTATGGTTGAAATACTTGTCTCAGTGGAAACATGAATTTTCTATCTCCACTCCCTCTGAAAACTTCAGGATATGATCTTTCAGAAGTGCAGGAGAATATAACTAAAAAAAAAAGCAAAAAGGATTCACTGGAATGTACCCTCTATAATGCTACAGAAGTACAGTGCTATAGTTATTCACAAAAATATGGTTTTGGTTCTAGCTGTGTGTAGCTGGCAGGTATTTTGGCAACTTTAGTTGTGTTACTTCCAGGGTTGCAGTGTTTTAGCTCCTTATCATGAGATAAATTTACACATGCATGTAACAATTGTTTGAATTGGTCCCAAAGTGGAAATCCCACATAGAAAGTAACAACATATCCCAGTAAGCTCTATAATTTGGATGCATTTACATGCTTGTTCTATGAAAAAGTATTAAAATAATGATTGTGTTGCTACCTGACAGCTTTTTCCCCCTAATGTTATCTTTCAATGGCAGTAATTACCTTCATTATTTACTACTACAATATTGCAGCAAAATATTTTAGCCTTTTTTTTAATTAACTAGTGGAATAGCTAAGGTTGTTGATGGCATTACATTGTTTGGAATAGTAAAAAAAATAAGGCACCATAAAGAACTCCAATGGGATTTCCAAACATTAGGAAAATCAACAACTGGGTATCAAAATAGCAGATGTCAAGAACAAAATCAAGTTAAAAGATGGAGGAACGAGATTATCAAGGAGTAACGCTATAGGAGAATGTGGCTGCAGAATCTGATTTGCCTACTTATACTACTTGGAGAACCCTGAATAGGTTGAGAGTTGGAGTACCTAAATGTAAACCAATATGCTCAAGTGGAGGCTCTTAGCGGATAGCAACATGCTATAGGAAAGTAGAGAGATACAAAGCCTGGCCCATCTGCTGGTATGTTGGCTACTACCAGAAACATGTACTTACCCAAAAGGGCCACCCCTCACTTCTGGATTCAGCCAGGTCTCAGTAATGCATGCCAGATCAATGTTTGAGCCTTTATTTATCAAATAAGCACTAACTGTGGAATTATTTATTCCCTGATATTCTTGTATCAAAAGTACTAATAGCTCTGACAATATTCTGTAGTGAAGATAATGCCACATTCAGAAAATTTAAAAGGGAACATACTTTCATAGAGCTGTATTTAGCAGCCTTTATTTTAATAGGTTAGCCTAGGCCAGGGGTAGGCAACCGTGGCTCTTTTATGACTCATGGACTTCAACTCCCAGAATTCCTGAGCCAGCCATGCTGGCTCAGGAATTCTGGGAGTTGAAGTCATGAGTCATAAAAGAGCCACGGTTGCCTACCCCTGGCCTAGGAAGAATGATCAATTTTGCATGAAATACATATTTGGCAAGAAGATTTAAATGGATACATTTGGTCACTGAAAGTTAATCATTAACATCTTATCTGAAAGTTATGGGGGGGGATGTTATGCTAACATGATCAACACCAAAGAGGGAGAAAAGTGTTTGAACTGAGTTCAAATCCTAATACTCATGGAGTTTTCCGGGCATCAATATTGGAATGGTTTGTCATTATCTTTTCAAATATTTTTTCTACTTCTCAGTCTAGCCTACACAATGGTAGTTTTTGGTAGTGGTCCATTCTATCTTGCTTAACCAGGCAAGTTTGTCCAGGTGTCTGTCTCTGTTTAGGATATGATCAGCACTAAGCCTGATTCCAGTCAAGGTATTTAAGTGCCATCTCAATTTCCTTGAAATATAGTGTATGTTATAAATTCAGCTTCTAAAATACATTTTTGAATTGGCAGTATTACATTAAGATGGTAGGTATATCTATGGATATTAATCTGTAAAGACCTACTGTTATGCTATGAAATTTAAAATCTTGATAGTTATCTTTTCTCCCACAGCAGTATTGTCTATAGTAGGGCTTTTCAACCAGTGGTACGGGTACCACCAATGGTACATTGGCACCTGGCAGGTGGTACGCGACCATCCTAGAAAAGTGGTAGCAGGGGAGGGGAATGAGCTGAACCGGTGGCAGCACCGCACAAGCCTAAGCGAGAGATGGCTGGAGCTGCAGGGCTGTCAGGGCTCAGCGGAAGCGCCAGGATCAGCGCCAGGCTCCAGCTGGAGCTCGGCCTTGATCCTGGTGCTTCTGCTGAGCCCAGAAGAAGCGCCGATCAGCTGGAATGTTGCAGCATCTCCAGGGTCTTGTGATTTACATTCAGATGCTTGGCAACTGATTCATATTTATGATGGTCACAGTGTCCCAGGGTCATGTGAAGTGACCAAAACCTGCTGCAATCACCCAGCAGACGGGGGGGGGATGAAAACCAAACACCCCCACCCCACCCCCGCTGCCAATCCTCAACAGAAATGCTCACAACAATGAAAACCTCGGACAGGAGGAAGAACACCGCTGGGTGGGCAGGAAGATGTCTTGATCAGCTGTGCCTTGGGGGGCACTTTTTTCAGTGCCATTGTAACTTCGAACAGTCACTAAGCGAACTTTTTCAAGTCGAGGACTATCTGTACTTTATCACTTTTTTCCTTTTTTGGGGGGGGGTCATGAAGTTTTTGACACTTTGCTAGGTGACTGGTGGTACTTGGATATTGTCATATCCTAAAAGTGATACAATGGATGAAAAGGTTGAAAAGCCCTGGTCTATAGCAGCAAAAACAGAATTTCAGATTAATAATAATAATAATAATAGTAAAGTTGGAAGGGACCTTGAAGGTCATCTAGTCCAACCCCCTGCTCAGGCAGGAAACCCTATACCATTTCGGACAAATGGCTGTCCAGTCTCTTCTTAAAAACTTCCAGTGTTGGAGCATTCACCGCAACTGGAGGCAGGTTGTTCCACTGGTTAATTGTTCTCACTGTCAAGAAGTTTCTCCTTAGTTCTAGATTGCTTCTCTCCTTGATTAGTTTCCACCCGTTGCTTCTTGTCCTGCCTTCAGGCGCTTTGGAAAATAGCTTGACTCCCTCTTCTTTATGGCAACCCCTGAGATATTGGAACACTGCTATCATGTCCCCCCTCGTCCTTCTCTTCATTAAACTAGACATACCCAATTCCAGCAACTGTTCCTTATATGCTTTAGCCTCCAGTCCCCTAATCATCTTTGTTGTATACAAAGGATTGTATACAACAATCCTATTTCACATGTATTTAGCTTCATATCAGGACACAGAATTAGCCATTTATACTGGAGAAAAAAGGCTTGCATCTCCTTAAATAGAGAGCAATATTTGAGTTCAAGTAAACACAAGGCAGCAAAGAACATGAGCCCAAAGAATCGAGGAGTCTGCAATTTTTAAGCTTGTCAAGAGCGCATGTTTTGCAATCTTAACAGCTGTCCTCTATGTAAGAAAATTTTTTACAACTTGCAAGCCATTGTATTTTTCTTCCTTCTGTTGGCGGTCTAGCCTATATATTAACATTACTATTGGATGACATTTCAGATTGCGCATTCCAAAAAAGGCGTTCCCCTTAGTCAGTACTGCCTAATAATGCGTCAACCTACAATTAAGCAGGGGCGGAGGAACCTAGGGCTGTCTTTACCCAAAATTGCTGCAACCGCTTTAATAAAAGTATGAATAATGCCTGTAGCAACTGTTGCTAAAAGTATCGCAGCCTCCAGCCAGGAGCAAAGATAACATTCCCTCCGGCGCACAGGACGCCCTCCCTATCGCCCGAGACCAAGAGAGGTGGGACCAGCGAAGGCAGCCTCTCCCCTACCTCCCCCTCCGTTTCCCTTTCCCAGTCCATCTTGCACCAGGAATCACGTGGGGCGAGAAAGGAGACTGCTGTTCCCATAGAGATAGAGAAAAGGTTGCCCTTGCTAGTCACGTGATTTTCACTGGCCCACGGCTCCTTCCGCCAGGCTTTGCGCTGCCCGGGGGACGTAGACCCCCCCCCTTTGCCTACCCTTCCACGAACGTCCCTCCCCCCCACCACCGTGGCGAATCCGTCCAGGAGCTGCGCTCGCGCACCGACCGTACCATGGAGGTTTTTATTCCTTCGTTCCGCTATGAGGAGAGCGAATTGGAAAGGGGCTACACGGTGAGTGGTGGGCGAGCGAAGGAGCTAATGACTTCCCCCCCTCCCCCTGCAAAGGAGGGGATGGTACTGCGCCGGGCCGGGCGTTGCTTGCCTTCTCCTGAAGAAGCGCGCGCAGGCAGTGCTCCTAAATAGAAGGGATTTGCAGGAGTGATGCGTTTGGGATACTAGCCAGGACGCCGACAAGAAGGGCGGAAGATTTTAATACTAAATTGATTTTGCAGGATCCAACCTGGGTCGGGCAACGGGACCAGAGATTTAGTCTGCTGTGTTTTTGGACTCGTGCTGGAGCCCATCCTCAGGGAATTTGTGCGCTTTGGGCTATTTTGGTGTGGTATTCATAGGGTGCCTGGTTATGTGTCAACAACTAAAAAAAGTCACACACAACCAGGCACCATTTAAAGACCATACACAAAATAGCCCAAAGTGCACGCTCTGTTAAAGAGACATGACCTGAGGATGGGCTCCAGCATGAATCCCAAAGCTCGGAAGACTAAACTTCTGATCCCGGTGACCGATTCAGATTGGATCCTGTAACATTATCTTGAGACACCTATATCCACTTTCATCATAAACTTATTTTGATTTTACTGTAAAACTAGCGAATGGTTGGGTTGCCATTTGAACTCCTCATTCTATATCATTGCTACCTAGTTACCCAAAGACCTGAGGGCATTCTAAGCGGACTATGATGGAAGATTTGGATCAGATTTTTAATAAAAAAAATTCTGGGTCTTAGGGACAATTTATCCTTGAGCATGTGTGAAATGTTCCTTAGAGATACATAAGGCAAAAGACAGCGGGTACCAAAGCAGATACAAACTGCATTTATGAAAAAATGCTTTTTTCCCTTGTCTGGAGTCCTCTGAAGTGTACTAATTGAACTATGGCCTGATATTTTTGCCCCTTGCTCCACATAGTGGAGTGCATGTGTCTGTTTTAAAGTTGTAGCTCTTTCTCTTAACTGAAGCAGCTGTGATTCTGTCAGAGTGAAACATTTAGGGTTACTTAACTTGTAGCCTAATTATTAAATGTCCCAACATCAGTTTCTGCCAAATGTCCAACTTACAAATATAAATTCTGCTGGATGGTTCCTCACAAATCATGAGTTAAACGTAGACAGAAACTGTTTTACTATCCCTAATTGACCAAACTAAAATTAACTTCCATCCTTCACTTCTCTCTGCAATAAGTGAGCTGATGCTAGAGACAAGCTATTGAATCTGACTCAATCTCATTCATTCATAAAATTAATTAAATCTGATATATAATTCAAACAAGATAGAGATGTCACTTATGAGGAGCCTGCAATAGGAATTGAGTCAGTTTGGATGGGGTGGTTAATCTGAAAAATCAAATTTTGGATACTTCTGGATTCTGCTTTGCATTTGGCGGCTTGTCTGAAAGTAGAAGTGCCTTTACCTGATTTAAGGCAATGATGCACAGTATGCAGCCATTCCTAATGAATTAGACCTCCCTCTGCCTTAGTTAAATTAAACTGGATTGGTGCAACACACTTTACTTGGGGTTTCTATTTGGAAAATATTATTGCTCTAGAAGAATGCTGATGGGCAAATATTTGAGATGGAACCAAAATAAACAATTCCACTGATTACTGTGCCTCCTGCTCTAGATTTCTTTGCTTGACTTAGGACACAGTTCAAAGTTACAGTACAGGTAGTCCTTGACTTACAACAGTTCATTTAGTGACCATTCAAAGTTACAACGGCACTGAAACTTGACTTATGACCGTTTTTTACACTTACAACCGTTGCAGCATCCCCATGGTTATGTGATCAAATTCAAACACTTGGTAACTGACTCACATTTCTGATGGTTGCAGTGTCCCAGAGTCATGTGATCAGCTTTTGCAACCTTCTGAGAAGCAAAGTCAGTGGGGAAGCCAGATTCACTTAACAACCGTGTTACTAACTTAACGACTGCATTGATTCACTTAACAAATGTGGCAAGAAAGTTCATAAAATGGGACAAAATTCACTTAATAAATGTTTCACTTAGCTACAGAAATGTTGGGCTCGATTATGGTCATAAGTTGAGGACTACTTGGAGTTACCTTTAATGCTTTAGTTCTAGTAAGCTTGAGATCTTTTCATATAATATTCCCTAACATTTATTTACTACAGTATTCTCTACCCTAAAATCTGATGGAAGTCTGTTCTCTTGGCAGAGGCATGATTGATGAAGACAATAAAAAGAGTTACTCAGTGGCTACATTTAAACTCAGTGGCTACATTTAAACTCTGTGCCTCAGGAAGCCAGGCCAGCACTTTCTCCAGTGGTCTTTCATCAGTTGGTTAAAAACTTCCTATTTATAAGACTATCAGTTCTGGGCTACTAAAACCACAAGTGGCATGAAAAAGCCAGAGTTTTTTCTATCTTTTGGCTGCCATCTCAGGTTATAGACTTGGTAGCCCTATTATTTAGGAAAACATTTGTTTCTCAATTAAGTGTACATTTCATTTGATTATTTTTTGTGGTATTTGTCTGCTGCTTTGTAGGAAAATCTTACTGCATTTTTTTGTACACATTTTTTTTTAAATTTTGTACTGGTTTCAGTTGTTGTTAGTCTTTGTGATAGAAGGATAATATACATTTTCATTAAAATAAAATAAAATTAACTAGCCTTTTCCTTACTACATGACATTAACATTTCTGGGACTGGTAGATTTGAGTTCTCATATACAGGACTTGTCAGAACTATTGGCTGATTTTCTTGAGTAGACACTAACTTTACAGGAGAATCACAGTTACGGTAAATATTTTCCAAATTTAATAACATGCATTCAACTCTCTCGTCTTATTGTTTTTGTTTAGTGGAGTTATTTTTATGCCACATTTGTTTTTATAAATGACTCAAGGTGGAAAACATACCTAGTAGATATAGTACTCCTCTGATTTCCCCAATCCTGTGAGATGAGTTGGGCTGATTGAGAGTGACTGGCCCAAAGTCACCCAACTGTCTTGCATGTCTAAGGCAGAACTAGAACTTACCAACTTCTGGTTGCTAACCTAGTGCCTTTTTAAGTCTTCATCCAATTCATGCTATTCTTTATTTATCACTCTATCATTGTTTGATAATGAGATTTAAACCAAAATTTAAAAACAAAATAATATGCAGTATATGTATAAGATTTGAGTGCACTACTTTCTACCATTTTTATTGAACCGAAAAAAGCACTAATTCTTGGCATTTTCGGTATCATTACAGCAATATAACTTTTTAGAGAAGTTATTTCGGTGCCTTTTCATTTGACAGTGGGATTCTATGCAAACTTTCTAAGGAAATCGAGTATCTGTTGTATGTGGAAAGATTGCTTAGTGATATGTTTTCTTCAAATCATACTAGTCAACATTTAAACTTTTTACTAACACTTTAAATTGATGAGTGGATCTCCAAACTATTGATTTCTCTGCTTAAAAATGCAACAGTTGTTCATAATTTGGTACTGAATAACCTTTAAATGTAGACATTTTGTGAACATACCCGTGGGGAGCAATTTAACTTTAAAATGACACCCATGAGCACTTGTTATCATTTAAGTATGATTCTTTTGCCAATGACGGAAGAGCAAATACTAGTTAGATTTCGAATGTTGATTCCAGTATGAGGAAACCACCTGAATAAATTAATTTGTGCTTGATTCATATTGATCAGAAACATTTATTGGTATGTTATAGGTCAAGGTGACATGTGTTTAAGTAGATCAAAGTGCAAAGGGCATATTTGACTGACAGGCTTAGAGTGTTCTTAATTAAGTTTTCCCCTCTGTCCTGCTACCTTTTAATTGCCTTCATGTAATGCTTTCTTAAACCACTTTTTAGAAAGATGAATAAGTTTACCAATCCTTAGGCCAGTGGTGGCGAACCTATGGCACAGGTGCCAGAGGCGGCACTCAGAGCCCTCTCCGTGGGCACACGCGCCGTCGCCCCAGTCCTAGGCCTTCAGCTGGGTTTTATAAAACCTTTTCTCTTTAGGTCTCCACCACCGTGTGCAAAAAAAAAAAAAAAAAGGTTCAATCAGTCAATTTCAACTTTTTGCGGAAAAAAAAAAAGATCTTGCAAAGTTGGAATTGATTGATTGAACTTTTTAGTCCCATCCAGTCTGCCCGTTACCACCGTAGCCACGTCCATCCGGCACTCGACGATGCATAAGTGGGTTTTGGGTTGCAGTTTGGGCACTCAGTCTCTAAAAGGTTCGCCATCACTGCCTTAGGCCTACTCTTGCCATTTGCCTTGTCTTATAAAAGTAAGTTAATTATACTTAATTATTAAGTAAGTGTAACTCTTCACAGTCTAATGGAATATCATGTACAGATTAATATCTTTAAAAGTATTTGGAATATGCTTTTCTCTTTTTAGCACTCTTCTGCATTATCAATATAGAAGTAGTACAATAGTATATATTATTATCTTTCTCTTCTTTTAATTTTGAACTGTTTGGTCTAGTTCAGGGATAGGCAACCTTGGCTCTTTTATCACTCGTGGACTTCAACACCCAGAATTCCTGAGCCAGCCATGCTGGCTCAGGAATTCTGAGAGTTGAAGTCCATGAGTCATAAAAGAGCCAAGGTTACCTACCCCTGGTCTAGTTCATTAAGGTCTTCTGTGAATAAAGCAATACATAGAACAGAGTATAAAAATACAGGCTTGATGTTGGTAGAGAAAGACACATCAGTATGTATTTGGCTTAATTTTAAATTTTTTAGTTAGCAAAACTGCACTTAAATTTTATCCCTTGAAGACTACAATTATTAATACCAATTATTTTACAAATATTTTAAGAATATAGCCATTGAGGTCAAAAACCTGGTCTAAATATAACCGAGTATCTGTTGTTCTTTAAAAGAATAAATGCTTGTTTCAAATGTACAATAATTCATAGTGTTTATTTGCAGGTTTTTTTAGCCTGTACTAAGGAAAATTACTTGCAGAAAACATATCCACTTAGAAAAATGCATAAAAATAGATGTATTGAGTGAATG